CCGGTGCCTCCTCCCCTCGCCGGGCCTGGGCGGGCCGCCCTTCACCAACTCCCGCCCCCCGCAGGCCGCGGGGCCGCCCTCTCCAGAGCAACGTTTATCCCGTCGTTTTCCCGTCGCCATGGGGAAGGTGTTCCCGATTCCGAGCGGAGGGGCCGGCCCGGCAGCTGCCGGGGGGTCGTCCGACACCCCGCAGGGCGGGCAGGCAGCTCCTGCCTCAGCCACCTCTGGAGTTGCAGAGGAGGGTCTCTTGTGTCTCAACCGTGAGCTGAAATGCAACCCTAATTCGATTTATTCAAGCACTGTTAACCCACATAGGGTCTGAAGCTTGTCTCATCTGTTTCTTTTGTGTTTTTTGTTTTTTTTCCCCTCAGCCGTTGACCACAGTATGGCCCAGTCAGCAGACACAATGTCTCTGCAGGTGGTATCAGCCGTCAGCAATTCCTCCTTGCTTCAGCCGGGCTTCTCCCTCCTCAATTTTGATGGGGATGTTTTCTTTTTCGGGCAGAAAGGATGGCCAAAGAGATCCTGTCCCACTGGCCTGTTCCTCCTCGATAGAAAACAGAATGAGCTCAAAATGAAACCTGCCTTCTTCTCTAAGGACTCCTGTTACCTGCCCCCGCTCCGCTACCCTGCTCTTTGCACGCTCAGGGGCAACGCGGATTCTGATGAGCACCAGTATATCATCCATGGGGGGAAAACACCTAACAATGACCTTTCAGATAAGATTTACGTGATGAGTCTGGTCAGCAAAAGCAGCAAGAAAGCCACGTTCCAATGCGTCGAGAAAGACCTGGATGGAGATGTCCCCGAAGCTAGATATGGGCATACAATCAACGTAGTTCATAGCCGGGGAAAAAGCATGAGTGTTATATTTGGGGGGCGATCGTACACTCCTCTGGCTCAAAGAACCACTGAAAATTGGAACAGTGTAGTTGACTGTTTGCCATCTGTCTTTCTTCTTGATTTTGAGTTTGGATGCTGTACGTCGTACATGCTTCCAGAGCTTCAGGATGGACTGGCTTTCCACGTTTCCGTTGCCAGGAATGACACCATCTACATTTTGGGAGGCCATTCGCTTCAAAATAACACCAGGCCCCCCAGTTTGTACAAGCTAAAAATTGATCTTCCCCTGGGCAGCCCATCTGTGACCTGCACCGTCTTGCCAGGGGGGATATCTGTGTCCAGTGCCATAGTGACTCAAACAAGTGATAATGAATTTGTCCTTGTTGGGGGCTACCAGTCTGACAACCAGAAACGGCTGGTGTGTAACACCATAGTTCTGGAAGATAATAAGATAGAGATTGTTGAAAGGGCAAGCCCGGACTGGACACCAGAAATTAAACACTGCAGGATCTGGTTTGGCTGTGACATGGGCAATGGCTCTGTCCTGCTGGGCATTCCGGGGGCCAACAAACAGTTAACCTCAGATGCAAACTACTTCTACATTTTGAGATGCAAAGAGGAAGAAGAGGACAAGGAGGAAGAACTGACAGCACCGATTTGCAGTCAGACGTCGGCCGACGACCCTGGAGACTCCACTCCTCTTGAAGATTCAGAGGAGTTTTGTTTTAGTGCTGAAGCCAGTAGCTTTGACATGGATGATGCTGACACTTACAATGAAGATGATGAAGAAGATGAGTCAGAAACAGGCTACTGGATCACCTGCTCTGCCACTTGCAACGTTGACATTAACACCTGGGTCCCTTTCTATTCGACAGAACTCAACAAGCCTGCAATGATCCTGTGTTCTGGTGGGGCTGGCCACTGGGTCCACGCACAATGTATGGACCTCTCAGAGACCATGCTCCTGCATCTCTCAGAAGCAAACATCAAGTACTTCTGCAACGAGCATGTTGACCTTAATAAAGGGCTGCAAACCCCCAAAAAGGTGCTGCACCTGAAAAAGCAACCCATGAAACCATTGCGCAAGAAGGCAACCGTGAAGCTAACACCAACCAAAAAGTCCTTTCTCAGGAGACTGTTTGACTAGATTGACACTGCTGATTTGGATTCACCTGGGAGGAAATGAAATCACAAAGGCAGCTAGTCATGGCTGAAGCAGAATGGGTGATTGGAGCTCGGGAAGATCTTTTTGTTTCATTGATTTCAATTATCTCAACACTTCGGTTACATTTCAAAGCTCGTGAAATTCTTTTGTCTCTCACGTGTGTTGTTGTAATACCCAGATAGGAGCCCCCTCATAGAGGGCATTGTGCTCACACACAGCCAGACTGTGTGTAGCTGTCTGCTTGTATTTTATGCTGTAATTTACTCCCCCGTTGCCCCCAGTGAGTGTAGTGGAACTGTTGGTGGGGTAAGACATTATCCCCCCTACTCAGTGCTGTTAGCATCTGTCCATAAAGGACTTTGTAGTCCCCATTTTAGTTCTTCATCTTAGTCAGTAGTTCTAGAAATATTCAGTGTAATTTATAGCTGCATTACTCTGACTTTATGTTGGTGTAATGAAATAAAATTAGACTGATGACTCTGATTTCAAACTAAAGTGGTGGCTGAAGTCCCTTGTGTCAGAAATAATGAAATATTCAGACACTGAGGGTCAGTTTTCTTCAGGGACTTCCATTATGGAAAGCTTACATACAGAGCATTTCATTCTGGATAATTACTCTTTAATTTTAAAAGGTATTGAATGATTATACATCAGTTTTGGCTACAGCTGTGGAATATCATCTCGTAGTAAAAATCAAATTGCTTTTTAAACTGCTGTGCTCAACAGCTGCTTTGTGTTTGTAGTTTTTTTTTTAAATCTAGTAAGCTAATAAAGTTTAGAATAAAAACAACTGCATTTTTTTCCTCACCTACTCACGGGGTAAATCAAACCCTGTAAATCCCAAAGTCTATGAAAGGATGGCATGTGTGCTTGGGAGGTCCATCTGAAGTCTGGTAAGGGGTCTAGCTTCACAGCCACCCCATGCTGTGAGCTCCCATTGACTTCAGAAGTTCCTTGTGAAGAACAGGACTTTCATCATTTACTCCAGGTCCTCCACTGTGCCTTTCTACTATTTCTTTCTCTGGTTTCTCAGGGTGACTATGTAGAGTGGGAAAGCTTAAAAGTGCAAGCTGTAGCTCAGAGTGACTCGTTGAGTCAGTGGAGCATTGGGAGGGTGGAAACAAATGCAGCTGGCAGCTCCAAGGATGAGGAGAAGACTGGACTCAGATGGAAAAGGACACGGTCAAGGTTGGACAGCCCAAGAGTTTACTGAGTTTTCTGTGGATTGTTTTATTGGCTATTTGAAAAGCCTCATCCTTCTCCATTTTATTTTTTATTTTTATTACTGTTCCAAACATCTTTTCAAAAAAATCAATACCATCCCCTCAACGTTTGTGAGCCAACAATAAGAGCTCAGTGTTCACACTCCAGCTCTCATGCTGGACCCCTGAATAAAAAAGGGGAAAACAGGAGCAGCTGTCAGCTCTTTGGTCACCATGTGCAGACCCTGAGCAGCCCCTCCTTTAGAAAGCAGCTTGTATTCCTACCAACACACACGTGTGGACAGTACTGCCCTGAAGACCTCCACAACTCAAGGCAACAGGAAAGTAGAGGACAACAGTATGAAATTTCCATTTCCAATTTTTTCATGGGCTGAGGGAGGTTATGGTTTGGGTAGAGCTTGTAAATGGGAAGTATATCCCCCTGATTTCCCCTCTCACCCGTCTGATATTGGTCTAAATTTACAGGTTTCGATGAGAGCTTCCTGGTTCCTTTGTCATGCTGCTTTTCATAAGCTCAGTGTCTATATTCCTATATGATTTTCCAAGGAATAAATTAACACCATGGACACATAAAGTCCCTTCAAACAGGTGAAATTCAATAGTCAACATGCCCTTTTGTAGGCTAGTCATAGGTCTTACTTAATTATTAAAATATACACTCATCATTGACTCTTCACAGTCTTCATTTACAACCAAAAAAAATACCCACACCAGGATTAAAGCCACATCATCACACCACCAACAAAGGAGGACAATACACCCACACAACACAACTCCACCCCTCATCCCTTCACCATTTCACAACATTATGGAACGTTATTCAATAATTATTTAATTCTTCAATTAATTCTTGAACTCCCTGGTGAAATCCTGTACAAGTTTTTGCCATTGACCTCTCCCAGTTACTGCCCTTATCTCCAGTTCCTCAGACCCCACACTGTGGCTCCCTGAGTCTCTTGGAGCCAAGAGCAGGTACACTCAGCACTGGGCAAGCACAGGGACACCTTGCAGCCCCTTCCAGTTCTTACCTGAGTTGTTGTTCTTTACTTCAAGGCTGTGGCTATGAAAAAAGCAATTCACAGGCAGACTTTATGATATCCCTCCTCAGGCCCATAAAGACACTGTAGTGTATGTTGGAGCTGTGTTTTTTTTAAATGTATGATTTAGTTGAGTAAGAGGGAGAAATTGCCTGCTCAAAATATCAGCATTAAATCACAGCTCAGAGCCCACGGTCACTGCAGGAAGAGGAGGTCATAATTAAAGTCAAATATAATATTCCAAAGGACTCAAACATAAAGAGGGATCTATATGAACATCAGCCTGTAAAGAAGACACTTGACATAGCATCCAAGACTGCAAAGTACTTCTTCCCCTGAAAATCCTGATGACACTTTTGAGTCATGTACTTGTTGGAGCATTGATTGTCTTCAAAATCAGCTAATCAATACAAGATGTTTCTTCCTCAGGCAGGTTAGAATTAGAAGATAACACGAAGCAGATTTGAGGGCAGAAGTAAATCTCTGTTGTATCTGCATCCGACTGACCTATGTGTTTTGTAACCACAACAAGCACCATCCTGGTTCCCAGGCACATTTTAGTAACATGCTGTTATTCTGAGCTTTTAGGAGAATAATATATGGATTTTACTGCTACTGGAAGGTGCTTGGACCCTGAAGTCCCTGATTAATCTACGGGAAAGGCACAGCACCAACTTTAGTGGTAGCACTAAAGCACGTGTCGTAGTGCAGAGTGACTCACAGCACCAGCAGACCATTGAAAAGAGTGGAAATAATGCAACTGGGAGCCCAAAGCAAAGGGAAAAGAGTGAATACAGATTGAAAAGGAACCTGTAAAGTTATTTACAGCTAGACTCAATGTATTACAGACAGAAGGTCTGGCTGGCTTTTTCTTCATGATTGGTGGCTGTGGGTCCCTCTGAATCTGATCATCTACCTAACTTCTGGCAAGGGCTTGAGCAACAGCCTCTGAAAATCAAACTCCAGTTTGGTATCTCTGCTTGACCTTTGAAAATTGTGACAGCAAAGCCCATCTTTTCTTTGAAAAAAGCAAGAAAATAACCTTATAATCCTTCCAGTTTCTCAATACATGCATGTATATGGGATGAACAGGACACTGGCCACTACCAGTTTAATATGGAAAGTAAAATTCAGTCAGTTATTACAGTTAGGAATAAAAGAGTTAAATAATCCTAATTTACCAAGAAACCCCCTGTGGCTTCTGAGTTTCTTTGGTTTCATATAGGTTCTGTTATTCCCATCCCCCATTTTTTATTCAAGGTCAGAGGAAAGAACCAAGTTGGTGAGATGAAGTCCAGAAATTAGATGTCTAATTACCTGATTGCACAAGGAAATCAGGTAGCTTAATTTGCTCATGGTTAATTCCATCCAAACCAGTTGGTTTGCATAAGTCCCTGAGATATCATTGCAGGGAAGAAAGAAAGGTTTTCAGAAGTGGAATAAAGGGAAGCTGAAAATCATGAACTGAAAGGTAGATTGGAACTGATCTTTGCAGCTCAGTCTATGCCAAAATTTGATGCACAGAAGCCAGTAAAGAGGCTTAACATATTAGCATGGACGTAACAGTGCAAGGCCAATTTTAAACAAACACTGGGATGGTGTTTGTAAATAAAGCAAAAGCCATTTACAGAGTAAATAAAACTGTTTTAAAATTCATTTCGTTTCCTGACAAACGGTTGCCTGTGAGGGATGGTGCTGAAAGGACTGCTGAGAATCACAGAGTAATCTTCATTTGTGTCCATTTGGTGACTTCCAAACCAGGGCTAGAAACACAGCTGCCTCTAACAGCCCAAATATGAGAAGCATCCACAAATTCAACGAAAAGTAAGACTGTTACCATGAAATGATGTACATAGTTGAAAAACTGGTAAGAAACGCAAAGCCAGAAACTTAAATATTTATCAGACCTTTATTTTAAACAGGCTTCATAAATTTCAAAGCTGTAATACAGTAAAAAGAAATGTAAAATTATGAAACAACACAGTGAGACAAAGCACAGAACTCAGTCAGAAACGAGGATGCTGTAAATACCTTGAATTTGTTTCTGAACTGCCTGACTAAAAGTCAAAGCTGACTTGCTTAAAGTCAGTAGAATTATTCCTGTGAGGGAACAGAAGAATGTGGGACCAGTATCATGGCTTTTCACATAGTTCACATCATTTCCTAACGTGGCAATTCAGAATATGAAGCCCTTAAATAAAACCCAACAAAAGGAGATACACAATGTGATTGTCTAAAACCTACAGTCAATAAAAGTTTGGAACAAGAAAATTATTGTGCCATGAGTTGCTGAAAGATTTGTACCAAGGATTAATATAAAAATGTGAGGGTTTGGGAGAGTACTATGAATAAAAGAGTCTCTGTGTTTATAAAACCTCTTGAAAACCCAAAAGCTTAACAATAGGCTGTGTAACCAAATGGTTCACCAGGCTGCAGTCAGATTTTGTTTGCCTTGTGTGCATGCAGCATTGTTATTTTATCCTTGTTTACAAAAGCTTCCACTTGCAGGTACCTACCCTTTTCAGTGAGGTTGGTTCTAATGAGCTCAAAACTCTCAAAGAGAGTCTCTTGATTTACAGCAGATGTCAAAAATGGGGGAAAAGATTTCACTGGCTTCAAGTCTAAAGAAAACAAAACAAACCAGAGGCAGTTCTCTGTGTCAGCTGTCCTGCCCAGAGCTGCTACAATGTGAAATGTGTCTTGATGGCTTAATAAAACTTCA